AATGTTGGTAAAACAACGTGGTTAATAATAAATCAATTCAATGGAAAGTCACAAATCGTCCATAAAAATGCAGATATTTCTGCTGATACTTTTAATGACTATTTGACCTTTGTAATTGAGGAGCTGATTACAAATATTACTATCCTAGGTTCTGAAGGTGCAGATCTGATGAAGATGTCACTGAAAGACTCGTTTTTCTTGAAGCCAACAAATGAAATTGAAGTGCAACCTGTAATTACTTCATTGAATAATTCAGATAGTTTAGATGCCTATAACATCAGTTCTGTTATAGTGAATATGGCATATGTTCCTCTTTAGTAAGGCTATAGCACAACTAGCAAATATTTGCTTCTCATGTGGAATGTTTCCAGCGAACCTAAAATTATGCCAAGCAACACCAATCCTGAAAAAAAGGGATCCTAATAATTGCAATAATTATAGATTTGTTACCATAACTCCCATTATTTCAAAGATCATTGAAATTCTAGTCAAAAACAGACTTCCTGGTTTTCTTCAAGGGGGTAGACACCTACATATTTATTATGAGAGAAATATGTTCTGAAGTTTGTCAAAGTACTTTTGAATCACCCTGTATATTTAGAGAGACATGAAACCACATATTATAAATAATATCTTCCAGTTATGACTTGCTGTCATGATGATTCAACGGGTTACAAATAAAACTTTTTAATAATAAAGAAAAATTATAGGTAGTAAACTTTAATACTGCCAAAACACTGAAATTTAAAATATTCTAAATTCCTTATTAAACATCGATTCCCACCATTGAGGATGACAGTGTCCCATGTAAGTGAAATCATTTCTCTTTCATGTGTAGCAATCCTGTGAATGATATCTGATATTCAATTTTATAGCAAATGTTTGGAATACAAACTGAATAGGAAAGTGTTCTTATATAATTCAATTAGGTGTTCACATCAGCATAGAAATTTCACCTCAAAACGTTCAATGCCTACCTACTTATATATTTGAAAAATTGTAGTAGTAGTGCCACTATCTTATATACCTAATGTATAGTGGACAGACAGTTTTATTGAACTATATTTATTAACTGATAAGAAATTGAAAAAATTCTACACCCATGGGTGTAGTAGGCAACTCTCAGTTTCAGGAGCAAAGTAAAAGAAACTGAATCTAGTTGTTACAAAACAGAATTCTAAACAGTGAGAATGTTGGTAAAACAACGTGGTTAATAATAAATCAATTCAATGGAAAGTCACAAGTCGTCCATAAAAATGCAGATATTTCTGCTGATACTTTCAATGACTATTTCACCTTCGTAATTGAGGAGCTGATTACAAATATTACTATCCCAGGTTCTGATGGTGCAGATCTGATGAAGATGTCACTGAAAGACTCGTTTTTCTTGAAGCCAACAAATGAAATTGAAGTGCAACCTGTAATTACTTCTTTGAATAATTCAGATAGTTTACATGCCTATAACATCAGTTCTGTTATAGTGAATATGGCATATGTTCCTCTTTAGTAAGGCTATAGGACAACTAGCAAATATTTGCTTCTCATGTGGAATGTTTCCAGCGAACCTAAAATTATGCCGAGCAACACCAATCCTGACAAAAAGGGATCCTAATAATTGCAATAATTATAGATTTGTTACCATAACTCCCATTATTTCAAAGATCATTGAAATTCTAGTCAAAAACAGACTTCTTGATTTTCTTCAAGGGGGTAGATACCTACATATTTATTATGAGAGAAATATGTACAGATAATAAAATTACCTACTATCTAAATCCAACAATATAGTCAATATTATAAATTAATCAGTATAGTGAGAGTGAAAATGGCACGATCGTGAATAATGGAATTTCGGAATGTGAGTCACATTTCTGAACAGCTATCTCGCTCTTCACAATACTTTTTCGATCATATCTAGGGACACAGAAGTACTTTCAGCAACACGAGCAGGGTAAAACCTACATTTTCTCGGGAGTGTGCTATGAAAAAAGGCACTGCTGATGAGCATGAAGTAAACGCTAGAAAATAAAAGGAACAAAATAATAAATACTTTCACAAACAACTTACAAAAAGAAATGGTATCCCATCAAAAACATTTACAACTAAAGTATTGCCAAAATGAGTACATATTACTGGCACTATAAAAAAGTTATCAGATCTCATAGTTCAACAAGTTCCTTACGTTGGGGCCGGCATACATGCATTCACTTTACAAACCTTTACTTAATGTTAAAATATGTACCTACTTTGGTTGTTAGTTAGTGTCCAACCGAAACTGGTTTTTAGGACCGAAACCGAATTTCGGCAACGGTACAAGGATTATGTTTTGATGGAAAAATAAAGAAAATGTTTTTATAATCAGTCAGTTTCGGTTTCGGTCGTAGTTTCGGCAGGTTTGCCGCCGAAACCGAAACCAGTTTTTCGCTGAAACTTGACCGAAACCGAACTTTCAGTCGGACACTAGTTGTTAGTGATTACTGCAGAAACTAATGAAATAAAATTAAGGAATAGCAAGTGAATTCCTGATGATAAAATCATGGCAGTGTCTACATGATTCATATGAAACAGCCAAGGTACATATAATTCAACTGTAAGCTAGGGTTTATAGAGTTAATGCTTGTCTACATGCCTTAAACTACAGAGCTCGATCACTATAACATCTGATTTTTTTTATAGGGAAAGCGAAGTACTAGTCTTGGCGATACTTCACATGAAAATTATTATGTTTGTATATGCTCATCTGGGCAAAAAATATCCAGTGGACTGTGTGAATATACGAAGTTTTTCTCAATCGGCGACTGTATGAATATAAGAAGTTTTTTAAAATCGTCAGAAATAAAACATTTGATGGTTGCTTACTTTAAAAGTGGTAAAAAACATATAAAGTTTCATTTCTCTTTTCTTCATTATGATTTCCTACCACGTAGGCTACATCCATCAATTTATTAATACTAGTAATACTCTTTTGATGGCTCTGGCCCTATAATACTTATTTTTTATGAAATTAAATACAAATAAATGTTTGTCTAGAATTTCAACTTGCATTTACATAAAATAACAATATTTAGAATACAGCTAGCCAAAAATCCTTGGATGTAGAATATGAAAGTGCTTTTAGCTGCTTTCTTAAATATACATGGCACATTCATAATTGATCTCTAGAATCAAACACCCAGAAATAGTAGAAAGGAGGAATAGAAGACAAGCTGCAGGTAGGTAGACATGTTTAGAGAAAGATTGGTACACACAACCATTTTGAAAAAAACAGTAGTGGCACAGGTAACAATCATTGTCCTCGGGAGGAGGTTCATACCCACTGTTATGTAACCTTGTAATGGATGATCTACTATGTCTTCTGGACCATTATGAAACACGTCCTGGACTATACAGTCGACTTAAGTCATCCCAGACTAAGCCATATATAATATAGTAAAGGGACCGATGCAGCAGGCCCTGATTGTTATAACTAGATGGACCAATGAAGAAGGGATAAACATAAGTTCAACAAACACAATTGACTATAGTAGCATTCGCCAATTGGACAGAAACAGAGGACCTAGCACCTCTAAAACTTTGAAGTAATGAAATACATATGCCAGGGGTGATCAAATATGATAGCATATGCATCTATCGTCAAAGATACATATTATATGTTATGCAAAAAAGACGTATGTTTGGGAATAACAGGTGCAATGAAAACCTCTCTTGAATCTTCCTCCTGTATATCGGGTAATAATGGAGCAGCAAATATGGGCCAGTTCAGACTGGAAAACTAACAGTTACATGGGATCGGGCAAACACAAATTTCGGAATATGTGGAGAAAGAAACATCAAATACGTTCTCAAACCACATGACACCAAAATACGTGGTTGATACAAACTTCACGGTTAGTCTTAAAGCGTGAAGAGTGGAAAATGAACAGCCACCCTGAGAAAATGTTCTGCACGTACCTAGTAAACAGAAGGGATGAAAATCAAACATGGGATACCCAAAATGGAATTTTCTATGCCATACCAACATGCCTAGTTAACCACTAGGTCGATAAACATCAGTCCTCCACACTAAAGTGCATGCAGTTTTGTAATTTGCAAGACACATTAATTTATATCCTTAACGAAATCAGCGGGTCAATATTTTCACTGACAGACAGGCTGCACATGGGGCACTGATGAACTTAAAAGTGAAGGAATTCCTTGATGAACTGAGGAAAATGACGAATAAGAATAATTTGACTCTTTACTGGGTGCCGGGACAATCAGTTACTACAGACAGAAAAAGCTAATGAGTGTACCAATCATCATCAACTCCAGATATAGGGCACGAACCAGATTGGCAATCCAACCAAGTGTCAGGACCCTGTCCACTGAGAGGATACCTGAACAAAATAGGGCTGTATAACAGAGACTTCGGCTGCAGGCAATGCAACAAAGAGACAGAGATAGCTCGTCATATTTCATGTGAAGGCAAACAATATATACACAGCCTGATTTATGCCCAAAATAATATTACATGCATCTAGAACGGTACCTATACATATTAATACAGGGTATAAAATTTTTGGAATGGGTGTCATGAAAAAAATGGAAGAAAAAGTCATAAGCCCATGAGGCGGCAGTGTTTTCTGGAGACTTGAGAGAAACAGACAGCTTCCAAGTAGTAGAGAAAAAAAGTTTGTTGCTGGTTTTTGTTTTGAATAAGTTAGTAAGTACAAATTAAAATGAGTTGCTCTGGACGGGAGTGATTTATCCATGTGAACATGTGATGATCGTTTTTTCAACCTATAATTTTATTTTCTAAATTCGAAGACTTATGATATAAAACTGTGTAGTTTGCTTTGAACTACCATTCAAAATATTTCTTCTTTTACCAGTATTGCAAAAATAAAATGAGGGTTCTATTTGCACCAATTTTTAAAAATCAACGGTTAACACCTATTAGGGTCTTAAAGATGATATTTCTATTTTAATTCATATTTTTCAGAAATATGATGAATGATTCGAGTTTGTGATTATATTAAAAAAATAAACCACTCTATAATTTAACAATAATACTGTACAGTGAAACAAAAAACTTTAAAAGACGATATATCTCAGAATGTATCATATTTTGAACACGAACATCAAATAAATAATTTTAATTTCTTCATATAAGATTTCCCAACCCTATTCTGTGAATCTAATCCTTCAAAAATTCATCCTGAGATTAGTTTTTGCTGCCGAAAATTTCGGATTAGTTGGAGTTCCGGGATCTGGCCTAGTCCTGTGAGAAGAGCCTTGTTTTGAAATTGATTTGACAGGAGTTTTCGTTGCTGGTGCAGGTGTATCAGGCAACGGCACTAGAAATGGATTTATTGTACTACGACAATCAACTCTAGAAGACACTTCATTCTGTAAAATAATTTTAGGTGAGTTTTTCCAATAGAATACCTAATAATGTACTATACAAAAGATGTATGGTAAATAAAACAGTTTTTTTTGAACTTTTGTGGTACGTTCCACCTACCACAATCAGAAAAAATTAAAGTTGGTAATTGGGAATTTTATACACGTTTAGAAGGGCAGACTTCTAGTTTACCCTGGTAACTTAGTGAGTAAAATTAATACATTTTTCTTAAACAAAAATGTTCTATTTTGTCAGTTACATGTCATATTCAATAATTTTTAAAATGGCTTAGACATTTATGACTACTTATCTTGGCGTTTTGAATCAGTTATTTGGGACTACGAAATATCAAGACAGGTATCCTATAAAATTCTTAGCTCTTTTTATCGACAGGCAAAATTATTAAATACGGCAAGCTACTTTTTTTTTAAATATACTGATTTTATGCAGTAACTTATCGGAGTAAACTAGAAGTTTGCCCTTTCTACAAGGTGTTTATTGAACATGCGGCAAAAATTAAAGGGACTACTCATTGGACTATTCTAAGGATATTTTCTCCTTTGATGATTTTTGATAGGGCGCTTTGTTTCGAAGATACGAAGCGAAAAATAATTTCGACAATGACTATTTATTACCAAAAATTACATGTAATGTTTCCTAAACTGTTGAAAATGACTGTAAGCATTCTCCGCTCGAATGCAAGAACCCAATCTTTTCATCGACTAACTCTTTCAAAAATATCAGGATAGTTTCTGATTGCGTTCCACTCAGCAAATTGAATAACTGCAGCCGTTTGTAGTAATCAGAATGTTGTTGATAGGTACCAACGGAATTGTTAGATTCTTTATTACTTGGTAGGTCCAGTGTAGTACACTATACTTTCATTTCGGCTACGTTAATGATTTTAAAATTACCAAAATTGTTATTGTCAAAATTCTTCGAAACAAAACGCCCTATCAAAAGTCATCAAAGGACAAAATATCCTTAGAATACTTCAAGGAATAGTCCCTTAATTTTTTGCTAAAGTTCTCCATTACTAATTTTTATTTTTTCAGATTATGGAATGTGAAAAGCCTCCAATAATAATTATTTACTGTTCGAACATTTGTGTTGTTAATAATATGAAAATGCTTTGAATTATATGAGATTAATCCTGAAACAGTTCATCTGTTTAAACAACATAATGCCGTGAACGATGAAAAAAATTAGTATTGAACACGTCTAAAAGTAAAGTAAAACACGTGTTCATTCCATTTCATGTTTTTGAATTATTCACCTTTGTTTTTTTTTATTTTTATAAATAGCATAATATAACAGGTTATGATTCATCTGATTCATTTTCAATACTTTTTGCAAAGATGCTTTCCAAATGAATAAATAAGTTTAGTTCAGATTTCTATCTTCAATACCACCTATGAGTTTGTTACTACTATGAATTCTTCAACTAGGTGCAACACTTCTCAACTAATGAGTTCATTTTTTCAATTTCAGTTCAATTAAAAATATACTTTGTCACAAGAATGTGTTTTTGTTAATAAAGCATTGCAGAAAATATAAATGACAAATATACAAGTAGGATAAAACATAGATAATATGAACACATGTAAAAGCAATATAACCATTAGTGGAAAAAAAAATAAAAACATAGTTAACAAAATAAACTTCCATAACTATTACAGTTTGACTATGTACAATACTCTTCTCTATGTGCGTTTCACAAAACAAGTCTTCAGGAGGTAAACTAATTCCTAACTTTGAAATGAGTCTCTACGTATATCTAACAAGGTACACAAACACACATCAATGATTCCAGGAAATTTTCTCGTGAAAGTTCCCACTAATTTCAACACAGTGATTCAAAGAAAGGTAAACAATGGGCTGTTTGGAACGTGACGTTTGTCACTGTTCCATCATTCTCATACCATGCTTTGCTATTAACAGACTTTTGAAAAAAAAAACATCCAAAAAACTAGTGCATGTACTGATCTCAACAATTTAAAACAGTTTTCATTTATTCTATAGCAATTCTTCAATGCGTGTTGAGCGATACTAGTTTTCTCTGGTCTCCATAATCGGATATGAGCTGCATGTTCTTTGAAACGAGTTTGATTAGCAAGCTTAGTCTGACTGACATATTTCGACACAGCCCTCATAGCATATTTTATATATTCTCGACTTTTCATTCTCCAACAACTTGTCTTTAGGGTAACCTAACATTTATTGAAGCAAGCAAGAAGTTTTGAAGTCTATTTCAAGTTCAACTTTTTTAAAATACTATCTACCCGTTGAGTGTATTTTGGTTCATAAGGAAGAGCAATGAACTTTGAATCTACGTTATTTTGAAAAGTGAATACCCCTTACTTTGGGCTATGTCCCTGTTAACATTTTTCTTAATATATAACCTTTCTTTACTCAAGAGGAACGTAACAAGCCTACAGACAAGAAAGTTCAGACCTCAATTTTGTGTGTGAGCCATCAGAAATATATCTAAAAGTACTGCTATTCTTCCTATAGGCATGAAATTCTATACCCTGGTTACTTCTAATCACTAAGACATTCAAAATTGGCAACTCCTCGTTGTTTTCAATTTCATATGTAAATGTAATTATCAGGGGATCTGTTGAGTTGAGTGTTGTTAATTCAAATGAGTTCATAAAAAAAGATTGATGATGTACAGCAGCGAGAAGAGATTTTAGTATCATTTGATGTATCCTTATTGTTTCCAAGTGTTCCTATACCAAAAACTATTGAATAATTGAGGGATCTTCTAAGGGCCAATGGTCTCAATGGAGACAAACAACTGACAAATATTTGCATGGAACAAAATTGCTTTCAGTTCAACAACTGTTTCTACAGACAGCACAAAGGCACAACATTGGGAAACCCTCTGTCCCCCTCTATAGCTGATCTGTTCATGTGCAGATTTGAATTAAAAACAAAAGAGGAGTTAGATTACTTTCCAAGGCCTTGGATCTGATATGTAGACTACAATCATGAGATTTTTAATAACAAATACCGAATATTAAGTTTACATATGAAATTGAAAACAATGGGGGGTTGCCATTCTTGGATGTCTTGGTGATAAGAAGTAGCCAGGGTCTAGAATTTGATGTATATTGGAAATATATTAGTACTTT